AGTAGAAGTCGAAGGAATTGTTGAGAATCTAGTCAAAGTCGAAGAAGTAGTTGCTGAAATTCCCGACACAATCTAAGTCGAAGAGGTTGTGGCTGAAACAAGCCAAAGACCTCAAATAAATAGAGTTCTTCCAACAAAACTTCATGATTATGAAGTGGTGGGTGATGATGAAGTCACACCAGATGGAGAATTAGTTCATTTTTCTTTACTTGCAGGTGATGAACTAATTAACTATAGCGAAGCTTTGAAGACTAAATGGTGGAAGTTAGATATGGTCGAAGAGTTACAGGCAATCAAAAGAAACAACACATGAGAGTTAGTCGAATTTCCAGCACATACAAAAGCTATCAAAGTAACATGGGTATTCAAGTTGAAACATAATGTTGATGGCTCGATAGCAAGATATAAAGCAAGATTGGTAGCTTGAGGGTTTCTTCAAAGAGAAGGACTCGAGTAATCTGAAGTATTTGCTTCAGTAGCAAGATTGGAGACTGTTCAACTAGCGGTAACATTAGCATGCAACCAAGGCTGGTCGACATTTCATTTAGATATGAAATCAGCATTTCTGAATGGTCCTTTAGACAAATAGGTCTATGTAACATAACTTCCAGGGTTTGTGATTCAGAAGGAAGCGAGTAAAGTATATAAGTTGTACAAAGCGTTCTATGTCCTCAAGCAGGTACCTAGGGCATGGAACAAGAAGATCGACTCATACTTAGTCGAATTGGGATTTGTCAAATGCAAATTTGAGTATGGTGTCTATGTTCAGGTTATAGCATAAGATATAACAATCATCTGCTTATATGTCAATGACTTGCTAGTAACTGGAAATAGCTTGGAGAACTTGTCAAAGTTCAAAGAGCTGATGATGAAGGAATTTGAAATGTCTGATCTGGGAAAAATTATCTTATTTTTTAGGTATGGAATTTCAAATGTTGAAGCAAGGTATGGTGCTACATCAAAGGAAGTATGCCAAAGAAATACTCAAGAGATTTAGAATGGATGATTCGAATCCTGAATCCTCACCTGTCAAACCAAATATAAAATAGGAGAAGAATGGAGAGGTAAACAAAGTTGATGTAACTTTATTCAAGAAAATTGTGGGATCTCTGAGGTATGTGTGCAACAGTCGACCTGATATAGGTTTCACTGCATGATCAGTAAGCAGCTATATGAGTGAACCAAGAGTGTCACATATGAAGGTTGCAAGAAGAATCTTGAAATATTTGAAGGGTTTGATAAACTATGATATACTATTTCGACGAGATTCTGAAGACAAAGAAGCAATAGTTAATTGTTTTTCAGATGTTGATTGGTGTGGAGATAAGGAAGATCGAAGAAGCACAACTGGATATTTCTTTTAAGTATTTGGTGCCTCAATCTCATGGTGTTCGAAGAAACAACCTGTGGTGGCATTATCATCCTGTAAAGCTGAATATATAGCAGGATCATATGTTGCATGTCAAGCAATTTGGATCGGGTCAGTACTTGAAGAAATAAAAGTCGAAGTGAAGAAACCTCTTGTATTGCAAATCGACTACAAGTCAGCCATAAATCTAGCAAAGAATCCAGTTCTGCATGGAAGAAGTAAACATATTGAAGCAAGGTTTCACTTCTTGAGGGAAAAGGTAAATCGAGGTGAACTTGAAGTAAGACATTGCTCGAGTGAAACACAGTTGACTGACATTTTCACCAAAGGATTGAAGATTGATAAATTCCTGAATTTGAAAAAGAAATTAGGAATAGTTCAGATTGACTATTTTTGATGATGTTCGACAACTAATATTATGGGGGTGTGTTGAAATATTATATTAGATTTGTTAAAATATTATATTAGATTAGATTTGGTTAGGTTTAATATTTAAATATAATCCAAGTTGTGTAGACCCGAACCCAATTAGAGTTGTATATAAATAGTCTCAGTCTGTATCATTATTTGTATAATTCAATAATACAAATCCTTATTTCCTTTATTATTTCTTCTTTCTCTCCTCACTAAAAGTGTCTCGCGCACTAACAGTTAGTTCCCGAATCCCGTGAAAACCAAGGAGGTCTCAAAGTCATTGAGAGATGAGATGAAGCTGATGCTTCCAAGTCTATTAACGTTGTTTCAATCATTGAACACAACTCTAACCTGGTACATTAAAGGGGATTTCACTTTTGATGATTCTTTAATACTAATTTGTGCAAAGGATTTAGGATTCTTATTATTTCCCTATGTTTTTTGAGTATTTCAGTTATTAGTTATAACAATAAAGAATGGTCAAGTACACTACTTTGCGGTTTTATAGTTGACTCTAAAACAAATTTTGTTTTCGATATTTGTTATTAAAAATAAAGCATTTCACTTAAATACTTCACATTGAGGTTTTGAGTATGTCACTTGAGTTTCTCAAACTACAATTTCAAAGGTCAATGATTTAGATCTTTTATAAATCATGTGACTCTTGAACTTTCTATGTTGTACTCAATATTTGAGAGTAATTTAAGATTTCAATTCTATAGAGTATTATGTTGATTCTTTAGAATCACTAACAGAATCTCAAAAAGCTGATTGTAATATTTAATAAACTTTACATACCACAAATGTTAAAGTTTGCTAACATGGATATTGATTAACATGTTTCTTTTCCCTTTACTTTTTCTAATTTTCATTATACCAAGACATTTAAATAGATTATTTCATTTCAAGTGTATATTGTTATGTTAACAGTTGCAAGACTAAAAATGGATTTAGAAATCACTTTATATATTTGATCTTGAATTTGACGCTAACTATTACTAATCATTATCTATTTGTTTTCCCCAATCAAGAACATGAACCATGAAACCAATCTCAAGGGATTCAATAATGGAACTTTCATTGTTTAGAAGTTTGAACTATAATCAATTCGTGCAAAAACTTGTCCTACCTTTCAATAACAAAGTGTTACCCTACCTTTCGATAACAACTCTTAACATTTGTGTGTGAATGTACAATTTAAGTTTGTATTTTTCAATTATTCAATTTTGAACCATATTTAATAATTTGTTGAACCATATTTCTATCATTTATGAAAATATTATTTGACTCAATATATAACGACCGGTACATATTATTAGTATATATTTATAATTTTATGAATGTTTATGATATTCAAAACAAATTTCAAAGCGGATAAATGAAATACTGCAACGTGATTTTTTTTTATAAGTGTATGTATTGTTGAATATCAAAAGCATAGAATGATTTAGGACTTTAATTTTAATATTTCACGTTCAAACTGAAAAAATAAATAATTATTCAATTTTACATATAAAAAAATGATATTGTACCATCCGTACAAACACACGAACACAGGGTCTCTTACTAATTCTTTAAATAAAAGAATAAATTATACCAGAATTAATGTTTTCTTAAACAAAGGAAACAAACTTTATAAGTCGATGAATAAATAAAATAATTCTAGAATCCATATTACTCAAACTTTAAACAAATAAATCTTTATGTGTACTACACGATTCATACAAGATATCTTAAGATGCACTTTTAAAGACTATTAAAAAAATTATATATAAATTTTCTTACAATATTTGGTTGATTTGTATGTCAAAATAAAATTTAAATACAAAGTTTGTTTTAAATCAAAACTGAATGATAGACATGACCAAAATATTTGAAAATTAAGCCAAAAGCGTAAAGATTCAAAAGAAATCCAAATATTTATCGAATCTTTAAAAGTATATCTATCCGTATGTATTATCTAGAACACTTTCCAAATATACGCAATCCATAATTATAAATATAAATATAAATACTATGTACATCAAATAAACCTTTCTTGAAATAGGAAAAATAACCAAAATAAATATTTAAAAAATTTTAACATAATAAAAAAAATCTGAATCTTAATCATGAAAACTTGAGTTAGATTGACAAAATTAGTCCCACTATCTCAAAAAATCAAAACCTTCCATAGTTTATCTGATTCACAAAACTATTAAATGTATTTGAATATTATTTTTAAAAAATTAAATATGTTTAATATCTTTAAAAATTTAAATAATTTTAATTTGTTATATATGTGTTTTAATAATATTTAAATGTGACTCTAGTAAATATGATTTTTATTTAAATATTTTTATGCTATCATGTCTAGTCGGCAGCGTAGTAATTCTATCTCATCTATTCTTGTTAATGAGATAATTGTTGAAGGGGCGGAGGAGGTTCGTGAGACGGTATTTTTGTATTTTGCATCTTATTTTAAAGGGGCTCGGGTGAATAGGTCCGGGGTGGAGAATTTAGTTTTTCATACTTTATCTGTAGTTCAAGGAGGTGATTTAATTAGACCATTTTCTGAGGTGGAAGTGAAGGAAGCAATTTGGAGTTATGACAGTTGTAAAAGTCTAGGGGCGGATGGTATTCATATGGATTTTATAAAATATTTTTGGCTTGATGTGAAGCAGAACATTGATTCATCATAGATTTTCACAGGAATGGACGTTTATCGAAGCGCATTAATAGTACTTTCATTGCTCTTATTTCAAAGGTGGAGTGTCCCAAAAGGTTGAATGAGTTTCGTCTGATATCTCTTGTGGGATGTTTATATAAAATTTTGGCCAAGTTATTGGATAATCGTTTGCGCTTGGTGATGGGCAATGTTATATCTGAGTCTCCGTCAGCTTTTGTCAAGGATAGGCAAATCTTTGACGGTATCTTGGTTGCAAATGAGGTGGTGGATGAGGCATGTAAGTTGCAAAAAGATTTGATGTTATTCAAAGTAGACTTTTAAAAGGCATATGATTCGGTGGGTTGGGGTTACTTGGATGTTGTTATGGGAAGAATGTCTTTCCCACCTTTGTGGAGGAAGTGGATGAAGGAGTGCATTGGGACGACTTCATTGTCCGTATTAGTTAATGGTAGTCCTACTAAAGAGTTTTAGTTTGAGATGGGATTGTGTCAAGGTAATCCACTCTCTCCCTTTTTGTTCCTTCTGGCGGCAGAAGGGATGCATATTTTAATGCAGGCGATGGTGGATCCCAATCTTTTTACGGGTTACACTATTGGTAGGGAGGTTATAAAAGTTATTTCTCATTTACAGTTTGTTGTTGACACCTTGCTTATGGGGGTGAAGAGTTGGGCTAATGTTAGAGCCTTGAGGATTATTCTCGTGCTATTTGAAGCAATGTCGGGTTTGAAAGTTAATTTTCACAAAAGTATGCTGGTCAATACTAATATTCCAGAGTCTTGGGTGTAGGAGGCTGCCTCAATCTTACACTATAGAGTTAGGAGGGTACCTTTTTGGTATTTGGGTCTTCCGATTGGGGGAGATTCAAGAAGGTTGTCTTTTTAAGTCTGATGGTGGAGGGCATTAAATAAGTTATCTGGGTGGAAGAGTAGTCATTTATCCTTTGGTGGTCGTTTAATCCTCTTAAAGTTTGTCCTTGCTTATATGCCTATCTATACTCTTTCTTTCATCAAAGCTCTTGCGGTTATAATCACGTCTTTATATTCTATTTTTATGAATTTCTTCTGGGGTGGGGTGTGAGTACAATTTCGCCATTAAAGGTTTTGCATGATGTCAAAACAGGAAAAGTGAGCACTTTGGTATATTATATATTATCCTTTTGGGTTGTGACACTCTTCTGCATTAGAGGTCTTAGGAATAATTAAAAATTGTTTTGAAATTAATCCAAGTCATTTAAAATTGGTTTCTACATAAATTTCTACTGCATGTGTTGACACATCCTCTTTTCAGGTCGACACATGCAACTCATTTTTAGAGCTTTTAGATTTTGTAAGTTTCAGGTCGACACATACGATATAAAGGTCGACACATATTGTTTAGTTGGTCAATTTTTTCAAATCTTTTTAATTTCGAATTTATCCTTTTTGTCCTAAAAGTTCCAAAACTATAAATACTGATTCATGCATCATTCATAACATGGTGAAATCATAAAATTAGCATATTGTTCTCTTTATCTTCAACTTCCAATCTATGCATACACACTGACATTACATTGTAATGATGTTCCGTTGGGGTGCTATCTAGACGAGGATTGTTAGTGTCCAATTGTGTATTAGGTTGAGCTTTATAGGGGTTTTCATCCAGGAAAAACATCTGGTTTGTTCTCCAAGATCATTGGTTGATTTGGGGATTTTCGTGCAAGACGTTCGAGAGGTAATTGCAGTCAAGTGAAGTACTTTTGAGATAAAAAACACAAGGGATCCTTTGGATATAAAGAATTCAAATAAAGTAGTGTGAGAACGGAAGATTACAATTGAAGTCTTGTGATGCAATAGTTTGAAATTGACGGTGCGCGAAAGCTTTAGTGATAAACAACGCAAAGGAGTAGCAATATCTTGTTATCAATTTATATCTATTGTGTCTTGTTCTTTCCCAAGATCAAAATAAGAGAAGGGATTGAATCAACGACAAGCATTAGGATTTTTGTGTTGCTATTGAACACTTCTCTTGTATCAACAATTCTGCATAGTAAAAATTATCCTAATTCCATTGGAATTAGGCGCAGATGTACCCACACACGAGGACGACAGTGGGGAACTGTGAAGACAAATTCCTTGTGTCTCTTTTATTTTTTTCTTTTACTTTATTTGATTTTCATTTATCAATTTGTCAAATAGCATTGATTTATCAATTAAGCCGTAAGAATTTTCTGAATTGTTTTTTATTTTAAATCAAGTGTTGATATAGCTTATAGTTACTTTCGATTATAAGTGGTTTTGTGTATCAACACAACTCAAGGAAAAATTCTGAAAATTCACTTGTAAAGTGATTCAAGCATATTAATTCAAATATACTTCTTATTCCATATTGCCTTTTGTTTTTACGTTTGCATATCTGAGTTTCCAATAACGTTCGTAAAAGATGACATTTTGAAAAAGCTTCAGCATTGCTCTTTGATAAAACATTTTCTTAAAACCAGAATTTTCTGGATATTTTAAAAGGGGTATCTATTCACCCCTCCCCCCCCCCCCCCCCCTCTAGATACGTTTCCGTCATCTAACAAGTGGCATCAAGAGCCCGGTTCATTCCGGCTTCGACACTCTTTATAAAATGGCTTACAAACCTAAAGGGGATTATAGAAGAGCCTCAATTTTCATGGGAGAAAATTATAGTTATTGGAAATCTTGTATACAAATTCATATTAAATCATATGACAAATATGTTTGGAAAGATATTCTAAATGGTCCAACACCGGTGACATATGTTGTTAATGGTGCTACTATACTGTAGCGGTAGAAATGTGCAAGACTAAGCCATTGGATTGACTAGACTTTATACAAATCAAAATAAAAATCGCTACCGCGCTTTATTGTTTCCAAAGGAATGGGAAAATAGCGAATAACCCAAAAGAGGGGGAAAGATTCAAGGTAAGGGGGTTGGTTATGCAAAGGGAAGGTATTAGCACCCTAAACATCCACGGTACTCCGCAGGAACCTCTTTGAAAAAATCTGTATATTTTGGCTATAAAAATGTGTTGTATATAAAATGGATGGTGGAGGTGAGAAAAGAAATATTTTTGTGATTTTTGCACCCGCCGCGGTTGCGAACCTTTAGTGCCTACGTACCACCTTTCGTGCAATAGGGGATCAGGGTACACGTAGTTCATCTAGAAAAGACTTGTTTGTTGATTGTTTTTAAACAAGGAGACAAGTCGTCATTGTTAGGAGAGAAATCTCGACTAACGCCCACAAGGTGTAAGAAAGATGGACCCTGCGTCAACAAGAGTGAGGGTTTGAGAACGCCTCTAGTACTCAAGTGGAAAAGTCGACACCTTTATAACCATAGGCGTAGGAGAATGTTGCTCGACTATCAATGAATCGTGTCTCATCTTGAAAAAGTTTGAATGGAAAAGGTGCTCGAGCGCACAAAAGAGTTTGAATGTGTTGAATTGTTTTGTTAATTTTTGAAAGATGTCAAAGTATGATTAAGTGAATTGAAGTTTGTTTAAAGAAAAGAAGTTTAGAAGAAAAGGCACTCGACAAAGTCGAGGTTTATTATGAAAGCGGTTTGATGTTAAAAATAAAGAAGATTTTGAAAGAAGATGAGAAGGTTTTGAAAATTAAAGAAGATGGGAGGAGATGAAGGGACTATCCTAAAGCATAAGGTAAAAGCTAAGGAAGAGAACCGTCTAACCAATATGAAGCCGATACTTGACATTATAAGCCAATGTAGAATTCCCATTCTTTGGATTGAAACCAAGCAAGCAAAGATACTAGACTTCTTGAGAGAATCAAACTTCAAGTGTATTTAGTCTTCGCAAAAATTGGGCAGAGTAACGGCTGTATACGGGTGAATTCCAGATTACAAACAAAGTATGTAATCACAATAACCTACACACAAAACAAACAAACAACCCAATGTCTTGAGGTAAACCTTAAGAACTCCAGACAAAATATAAAATAAAGTCACAAAGTCTCCAAGATAGGCCAAGGTCTCTAATCCTAAGTCCAAGAAGTCCATCACTCCATAATGCAAAGGATAGTAACCATGTAGTCCAAGTATCATTAAAGTTTTTTATGGTTCATGTTGATTATTAGGTGTCTTTAAAAAGAAAAGAAAAGCTCAAGTGAGTAAAATAAAAATGACATAAAAATAAATGCTCAAGTGAGCAAAATAAAAATGACATAAAAGTAAATACTCAAGTGAGCAAAATAAAAATGACATAAAAGTAAATGCTCAAGTGAGCAAATATGAAAATAGCATGAAATGTAAATGGTACATAAAGCATGAAAATAAAAGCGTAAAGTAAAGTTAATTGTTAGTAATTAGTGGTTAGTTGGATGACCATCTTGAAACTTGCATTTGGAACTCATTAGGGGATTGGTAGAACCAAAGCCTCTACACAACAAGTTGCATTTGCTTTTTGTCATGTATATCATCCATTTTGGAATTCTCACAAGGCAACATGTAATGATCAACGATGTTTAAGTGATCCGCGTTGACCAAAGGTGTTGTAGATCCATCAGAGGATTGGTAGAACCAAAGCCTCTACATGATGAATCTCAAGGTTATTGGATCAAAGAGATCAAATTAACATACTTGGGCTTGCAATCATAAGTTTGGGCCACGAATGATCATTTATTCGAATCGGGACAAAATTTAGCGCTATGTTAAGCAATCGTAAGTGGACTTATGTAGAAGTCGCACCTATTTTGAGGTCGGTCAATAGCAATCTATGTACTTCATGTTTGGATAAATGATATAGAGATCACCATCCCTTAACATGTAGCACAATAAAAAAAGAAAGGGATAAGATGAAGAGGGAGGGAAATGATAAGCTAATTTGGATCACCATTTCAAAATTCTTTCATCTTTAAATTCAACCACTCCTCTAGATGGATTAAAGCACTAAACATATCATTAATCCAAAGCACCAAAAATGAATTAAATAATTCACTCTTAGGTAGATTTGAATTGATGAACATTTATCCAACTTCATCGACATCACAAAGTCCATTGAGTTTAAAGACAAATTGGACATTTAAAATTGCAATCCAAACCAACAATCAAAAGGAGTGAGTAGCAAAAGCATTTTGGATCAAAGTTGCCCCAAAACAAGGCAAAACATACATTCTGTTCTGGTGTAAATCGATTTACACTACTATGTAAATCGATTTACACAGTATAATTTTCAAAAAATTATGCAAAATTGTGCTGTGTAAATCGATTTACACTACTATGTAAATCGATTGCACACAGAGGCAGTAGCAAAAACAGCATTTTAAAAGGGAAATTTCTTGTTCAAACTTTCCAGCAAACACCTTATGATCATGGATCCACTTGAGCACGAAAATTCCATCAAATTATGAGAAAACAACACCATTGGAATCACAAAATAATGCTCAAAGAATCAATCCCAAAGTTCACCAAGAAATCACATTGTGAAAGATGAATTATCCAAACTTACCAAAGGTAGATCTAGAGAATTATCAAAACAACTTCAAGAATTTGCTTCAATTCAAACACAAGAATCAATTGACCAAGCTTGGATGTAGAGAATTGATGGAGAAAAAGTGTTTGGATGAAGGTTTAGCTCAAAGATTAGTAAGTTTCAATGCAAAGCTTACTAACTTTTTGAAAATGGAGCTTTGAGTGAATTTGGTAGATGGAGAGATTTGAGAGATTTTTTTAGCAAGGTGGATTTGGCTATCAAAAGCTTGAAATTTGAATGAGATGAGGGCTCTATTTATAGAGTTTTGAATTGGGATTAGTGGTAATTTGGTAATTGA